ATATATATATATATATATATATATATATATATATATATATATATATATATATATATATATGAATTAAGTGCGTCCTTTTCTTTGTTTTTTCTTTAGTGTTCCCCTTACTGCTTCTGCTTCCTGCTGCAGCTGCTGCAGCGCCTCCTGCTGCGTAAAGAAAGCAGCAAAAGCCTCCTTCAGTGCTGCTGCTGCTGCTGCTGCATCTGCTGTTTTCTCGCTCTTGCTCTGAGCTAAACTTACTTGGCTTAGGAATCGTCTTGCTGCAGCAACCTGTTCTGCTTGCAGTGGTTCACGTGCTGCTGCTGCTGCTGCTGCTGCTTCTGCTTCTTCTGCTGCAGCAGCAGCAGCAGCAGCAGGCTCAGACTCAGACTGCTGCAGCGCAGCAACAACATCCTCTTTCAATGAATCAAATGTCACGAATACACCACGCTGCACGCGTTCCAGCCCCAACATTATCTTTTCATATAGCTCTTCGCATGCAGCTGGTGCTGCTGCTTCTGCTGCAGTTTCTTCTGCTGCTGCAGCAGTAATATCTGTTTCATGTTCTTTTTCAGCTAACAACGGCATTATTTTATCATAAAATAATTTTAATTCTTCTATATATTTTTCTCCATTTATTTCATCGAGTTTTTGTTCTGCTTCCTTTACTTTTTCTGCTGCTGCTACGCCGCATGCATGCAGACTGTCTGTTGCTTCTCTTAGTCTTTTCTCTACTGCTGAGGTGTATGCAGCATAAGCATCAATAAAAGAGTTAAATAATTCTTGTATTTTAGTTTTTATTGTGTTTAGTTCTTTTCTAGATTCTTTTATTTGTGTTTGTAATGCTGTATGTTTCTCTGCTTGTATTGCTGTTTGTGTTTTTGGTTTTTCTTTTTGTTTTTGTTGTTGTGCATGCATGCGAGCACTAATAGAGATAGCAGCAGCAACAACAGCAGCAATAACAGCAATGCATGCAGCTAATAACATTTTCTTTTTACTTGTATCTATAGACTTTGCTGCCATCTTTATTATGGCTGTAGGGATTAGGTCTTGTGTTCCGCGTGTAGATACAGCTAAACCATCAACATAAACATCTAAGCTTTCAAACCTTATACCTTGATCTTCAGCAGTCTGATCATCAGCACGTGAACCATATGCATACAAACATATACTCCTGCTGCTGCTGCTGCTGCTGCTGCTGCTGCAGTTGCTGCTGCTGCTGATGCTGATAAGGACGCAGAGAGCTAACAGCAACATCAGTACTTGGTGATATAGCTGCTTATGCAGCTTTAAAATATATCTAAGAAACATGGGAATCATCGTCATGTTAGAAATATAATTACAACAACACTGCTGCTGCTGTTGCTGCTGTTGTTGATCCTGCTGCTGCTGCTGCTGCTGCTGCTGCTGAGTTCTGCTGCAGCAGATCGAGACAGAGGAGACGGAGACGGTGATCTATGATGGCTCTTATATGGCGGCTGCAATGTGTTCTCAACAAATAGAGACAAATGGAAAAGAAATATAAAAATAAAATAAACAAATAAACCCCAATACGCAAAAACTCCTCCCTATTATTTCATAAACAGCTGCACAGAGGCAGAGGCCCCCGTATCAGCCATAAACCCAAAGCAACCAACAGCAGCTGCAGCTCTGTACTCCTGCAGCAGCTGGGGAAACAATTTGCCAAAGAATAAGAGGATCCGCAGCTGCTGCAGCTGCAGCAGGAGCAGCAGCAGCAGCAGCAGCAGCAGCAGTAGCAGCTGCAGCAGCTGCACTGCAGGTGCGACCGAGCCGGTTTCAGGCCAAAGAAAAAGGGTTTTAAGGATATTTTATTTAATATAAAGTCTGAAGAAGAGTTTTTTGCAAAAAAAACAAAAAGATATACAACACGAAAGAGAACAAAGCATGCAACAGCCGCTCCGGCAAGAGGAAGAGCTCCATAGCGGGGCTGTTGTTTGTCGTTATCCTAAGAGGCATCAGCAGATCGATGGCATTCTTCTCTTTATAATTTTGAATTTTATATTTAAATTATTTAAATTTGTTTCTTTTTTATTTAATCTCTCTCAGTTTCTCTCTTAAACCCCTTCTGCAAATCCTGCACAGCGACCGCACACCGCAACGAATGCTGGAGCGATGCTGCAATGGCGAGTTGTAAATACACACAAAAACAAAAAAACAAAGAGAAAAACAAAAATAAAATAAATATATTTTACTGATTTTCGATTTGTTGGTGTGATCTCACATAAACGATGAAAGAATAAGTTGAATCCTAGGCGCCGCCCCGGCTACCTAACCAAATAAAAACGAAACACAAACAAACCCATTTGTTTAATTACATTTCCTTCAATGCTTGCAGCAGCAGCATGCATGCAAATAAGAGTTTTTTGCTGCAGCACTGCACCGCTATTTCAGTTACACACAACCCAAACACCACTAGGGATTCATATACCGTTCTCGTTTAGGGTGGCACTGCTACTGCAGCATCTCTGGATACTTGCATGCATTGTGGCTGCTGAAGGCCGAATAAGTCTTAAACAAATGATGCTGGGGGATAAGGGATACGTCGCACGGGGGTGTAGGGGGGATTCTAATAGGCAGGACGTAGCATATTCAGCCTGCAGTTTGCTCTTTTATTTCTACTTGCGTAAAGTATGATTGCTGAAACAACCGTTGGCAGTATTATTCCATCCATAGAAACACGGATTCGGTTCATGTGTGTCTCATTTTGCCTTGCAACAGAAGTGGTAGTTAAGCATGTTGCAGCGCATGACACGCCCCCACCTCATCGATGCTGTTGTATCTGATGAGCGAAATTTGCTAATCTCGAGTACTCTCGTTTCACTTGGTGGCAACAGATGGTTCATCTGGGCACATGCAAGCACCCCCCATCCCCGAGGACGCTTGCCTGGTGCACAGCAACAGTTTGTATTGAACCGGATGTGTTGCCTTCAAAATGCATCTGCTGAGCTACAATTCCTATTCGTATCCACTTTAGTAGACAAGGAGGCCTGAAATTAATAGTCACATAGAAACAGGAGGCCTGGCATTGATAGCTACATCTAAACAGGGCTGTCTGGGTTCCCAGAGCACAAACGCTGCGATGTAGGCTGATTCTCGAGATAAGAGAACACGGCAGATTAAGAAAACTTGAACGAGGGAAGCTGCCAATATATATATACTCAGTTCTCCTTGGTGAACAGAAGTTTAAAGGTGCCCTTTGGGCTTCTATATCACTAGTCCATGGCAGAGGTGTATAGAGAAGCAATCCGTAACTGGCTGGAAAGCGTAGAGTGTGAAAGGGTGGGACTCGTCTAGATGGTGGATTAATTCAGCATGAAGGACCAAACAAAACACTTTCGCCCCGCTGGCTGACAATGAAGAAGCAGGCTTTGCGAACGATCCAGAGGAGCCATGCATACTGGAGCTGTGAGCGACAGCGCCACCCAAAGAAAGATAAGAAGCGAGAAAAGACAGCTGCTGGCGAATCTGGCGTCCATAAATTTTTGGCGGGTGTACCAAGAGGCGCAATCGTCTCCTTTATAGCAAGCAAGGTCACACAGTTCAACACTGGTGGCGCATGGCCAGCTCTGCCAGAGGAGCAAACGAAACGAACAAGGAAATCTCCGGGCCCCCCCGCAACCACCAAAGCGGTCATGGGGACAAAAAAGGCGGCAGATGCATCTGCAGACTAGCTTCGTGTTTACCGTATGCCGAACAAAGTTTGTATACATGCTTAGGAGTTGCTGCCTTCGCTTGGAAAAAGGCTCCGAGGTCTGATGTCTAACGCTACGAGAAAGAGGTACAGCCTGCCGGCCTATACGTTGACGCACTCTCCCCAACTACGTTTCGCTCACGGCATACACGACCAAAGATCCCCCAAGTCTATGTGCTTAAACTGAGGAATTATTTCAGAAATAAGTCATATTGCCATGATGCCGAGCTTCTCCGTTGGCTCAGCTCACCACAGCATAATCCTAGACACGCCGTGAAGGACGCACTAGAGGGCGAATTTGGGGCCTCCAGACGAGACTATTGTTCTATTTTCCGGGGGTTACTGACAGTATGTACATTTCACAGCTCTCAACAGCATTTGTATCCTCTACACTAGGAGAAGTGCAATCAATATCCTAAGAATAAAGTAGTGAAGAGGCTCGAGCGCAGCGCCGGGACACTGCCGGCAGAAGCCGATTTCTTCTTCGTCCCCAGGCAGTATGTGCAATATAAAGGCGTCAGTATGAGTGTGCATAGCATTTTAAGCCAACCAGCATCTGCTGCCCCAGCATTTACAGTGTAGGAGCAACCGGAATTACACGCTGAGCCAAAGGAATTCCAACGGCAAGTGATGCAGCAGTGGGCGATGCTGCAGCAAGCAACACATCCTCAAGAAATTCAGTAGTAGGAGAATCGGAATCAGGAAAAGAAGCGAGAAATGACGCAGCAGTAAGAGAGACATGGTAAAATGGCACACCAACGACAGAAACAACAAGTGGCGCACCAGCAGGAGCCCTCCAATAGGTCCATCCATTCCTTGCAGGGCGCCCAGGTACGCCAGGCCATGTGGCGCGTTTTCGAGAGGTTGGGGCCAGGTGCAGGATGGTTTGTCTGAATTTGGCGCATGCAATTTTCCCTGCGTGCAGATTCGCCATTTAGCTTGCTAATTGTTTACCAGTTGGCTCAGTACTAAAGTAGGAATCGAAGGGGGCTTTGTTATGCTAGGAGGCGTTGTTGTTTTGCTGCAACAGTTGCAACATAGCGTGCTGCAACCCAAGAGAGGCCGCCTCCTCCCGGCCTCAGGTGGAGGTCGTTGCGCCCGTCATACATACAGCGTACAGGGGAAGCGGTCAGCTGCTTTCCTGTGTACTTTGATTCTATTAGAGAGCAAGACAGCCCCGTGCTGGGATCTTCGGCTGTTTTTATTTAAATATTGAATATATTCCCACGAAATTTCATTAAAATGATGAAGGTAACAAACACCTGTGGCGTCATGATTGAATAACCCCCCGTAAAGATAACAACGAGACGGCGGTGTTGAGGCTAAACATTATTTATGTACATATAAATTAAAGAGTATATAGTGAATCTATAGAGAAATATATAAATATACCTTTTATTTCAGCATTTTCATTGCAGGCTCTTGCAACTCAGTGCCCTGATCGACGGGGCTGGAATATCGGCTTGTTGCTCACCGCTCGTAATGCATGCGAAAAGAAACTGTATCAAAACCCTTTTAATTTTTAAAAATAATAATTTTTTTCTGTTTTCAAAGGGAAATATCTTTTTACATCTTTTTCTTCGTCACGAATCGCAAGCCTGCTGGGTTCAGGTGCGTGGTGCTGGCGGTCTCGTGCTCTGCACGTTTTCTTCTTTCCCCCTCCTACAAGCATCGAATATTTTGTTTAAATTAATTATTTATATTATTTCTTTTTGTATTTTGCTGGGATTCCCCCAATTAAACCACCGGATCAGCTGCTTGAGGAGTGTGCTGGTGGCTCTCTGGGTGTACAGGCTGGCATTCATAAGTTGCAAGAAAGCTGCAGCTTCCGCCTCTGTTTTGTTTTTTTGTTTTTTTTTTTATCGCTCTTATGTTC